GGAAGAGCGCAATGATGCTGCTAACTTGGGCCAGTGAAGCAACGTCCTCCACAACTAGACTGAGGAACAAAAGGACAGCAACTTTTTTCTATTCCCTTTCCTCCAATTTCCCAACGCAGTTCCCATCCCCCATTTCCCCAATAAAAATCTTTAAAAAAAAGCCCAAAAGGTCCCTCAATATGGGGGGGCAGCAAACCTGGGGAGAAGATGAATGGTCTCCCCAGCGAATCATCCAATATTATGGCCCAGCTACTTAGGCTCAAGATGGGAGTTGGGGATATTGTACCCCCATTTACATGCTCAACCATATTATCTAGGATGTTCTAGAAATAATTACCAATGAAACTGCAACAGCTTTAGAGCTCCTCGCTGCCCAACAGACCCAGATGCGGGCCGCTATTTATCAAAACCGCCTAGCACTGGACTGTCTAGCTGAAGAAGGTGGTGTCTGTGGCAAATTTAATCAGTCGGACTGTTGTCTACAGATTGACGACACTGGCAAAGCTGTCTCCACGAATATTAAAAAGATTGCCCATGTCCCAGTTCAAAAATAGTCACAATGGGATCCCCAGAGCCTATTTGGAGGATGGTTCTCCACCTCTGGGGTATTTAAAACGTTAATTGGAATCGTTCTTCTGCCCCTTGGGGCATGCCTTTTACCCTGCATTCTCCCCCTTGTCAGTCGCTCTACCTCTTCCCTTATAGAGACCATTGTAGAATGTAAGACTGCCGCTAAGGTCCTCATGCTATGGAGGTACCAACCCCTAGGCCAGCAGCCTGTCAAAGGAGATGATGCTCTCTAACCCACATATGGGTTCGAGCATCAAAGGGGGGAATGTGGCAGTGGGCCCCAGACAAAGGCCTTCCCAGACCATGTGGTCACTAAGGATTTCTCGCAGGCTTCAGACGAAGACATTCCTGGACTGTATGGTCAGCAAGACTTCCACATTTAATATTTCCAAATTCCTACCTCACCCGGAAGCCAGGCAGGAACTGGCACAATGGCCACATGTTCTAATAATAAATCTTAGCTGCCAACCTGGAAACTTCAGGGTATATAGCCCCGAGTCCCACCCGGGTCGGGGCTCAGCCTCTGGATGTAAATCCGCTGAGCCAGTGCCGGCATTAGTAAAAGTTGCTTCCCATGCCTTGGTGTCCTGTCTCTTTGTCTGGGTTCCCTGCAACAGCGGCACACCTCATTTCAGTGCACTTCACTTTGCTGTGCTTCTAGAAGTTAATTTTCATCACCATTGAGACAAGACCTTCCCAGCAAGAAGATTACGACTTACTGAAGGCTCAGATGGTGTTCAGCATTTTTAATAATAAAGTACTTTTTAATTAAGGTGTGTGCATTGCTTTTTTAGATATAATGCCATTGCACACTTAACAGACTACAATAGAGTATAAAAATAACTGTTATATACACTGGGAAACAAAAAACTCTGTGTGGCTTGCTTTCTTGAGATATTCACTTTTTTGCAGTGCTCTGAAACCCAACTCGCAATATCTCTCAGGTATGCCTGTTGTGTGATTTGATTAGATTTTATCCACTTCCTTTCACCTCTACTGCTGGCATCCCATCTCACTCATGTCTTCCCTGGAGTCTTCTACTTGGTCCCACCTGCCCCTCTCCAATCCATTCTCAAAGAGAAAAAACAACTCAATTAACACAATTGACAAAAACAACTTTCACAAATGTAAATCTGACCCAGCACATTCTTGCTTAACTACCTCCGCCCCAAGAGCTTCCTTGGAAAGAAATCCTAACTCTTTCAAAAAAAAAAAATCCCAGCTCCTTACCAGTGTCTAAGGCCCTGCAAAACCTAATCCCAGCACACCCTCCCACCTCCCATGTCTCCTCTCCCCAGCTGACCATAGTGTAGCTCAGGCCTCTCCATTTCACCAACAAGCCGAACCCTTCCCTGCTTCCAGGCCTCTCTGCTGATTCCTACACAGCTCCTATCATGGCGGTAATGACCCTGGGCATTTATTTGTTCACTTAGTTACTTCTTCCTCCACTGGTATGTAAATCTCCTGTCTTCCTCGAATTGCTGCATGCCTGGCAAGCACTCAATGAATATTAACTGAAGGAATGAATAATTCACTGATATTTTTCAAAGTATAGTTCTAAGCTAAATGCCATAAGAAAATGCTTTCCCAGATAAAGCATTTTAATTTTTAAAAGGTAGCTCCCCCCTAAAAAAAATTTTAAGATATTTTTATGTTACTTATGTAAAAATTATTAATATCCCATTTTAGAAATATGATAGTTTATACATACACACATTTACTATGCTCTTGGGACTATATTAAATACTTTATGCATCTAATTTAATCCCACAGCAATTCTGTGAAACAGGTACAATTATTATTATCATCATTTTACAGGTGCACCGAGATTATGTAATTGCCCAAAGTGAGATTATGTAAATACCCAATGGAAGTAAGTGCTTGTAAATAGCAGAACTACAACTGTGGGATTTGAATTCAGAGTCTGGCTCTAACCTGGGTGCCCTTAAATAAAGAAAGATACTGAAGAAACAAATTGATGAATTTCTTATATATTTCACATGGCTCTAGGTGTGTATCAGTTTAGATATTTGGAGGCACTGAACTGAACTTTTTATTTCATTCTTTTAATTAAGATATAATTGACGTAACATTAGTTTCAGGTGTAAAACATAATGATTTCATACTATCACATTTTGTGAAATGATCACCACAATAAGTCCTGCTAACATCTGTCACCACAGTTACAAAATTTTTTTTCTTGTGATAAAAACTTGTAAGATCCACCCTCTGATCAACTTCCAAATATGCAATATACTATTATTAACTATAGTCACCATGCTGTACTTTACATCACCATCACTTATTTATTTTATAACTGGAATAAACTGAAGAACTTTTTGATAGAAAAGAAAGGAAACATTATTTTATGACAAAATTACAAACAACCTTTTGCTTAGCAATGGAAACGCATCTGATTGCTTTAAATGGAAACAGCTTTAGGGACTGTGCAGTGCAGTGGTCCAGATGTTCTATTCCACAGCCTGTCTGAAAGGGGAGGAGGAGATGGTGGTGGTCAGGAAACAGTGGTTCCCTGGTTGTGATGGCAGCAGTAAGTGGCAGTGATGCTGGCATTTCGTGACCAGTAAGTAGCTAAGGATGGTGAACATACTGCAATGCACTGGGACAGCTGCTCACAGAGGAAAATGGTCTGCCCCAATGATGCTCCTACTGAGAAACACTGAACTGACGGGAACGCTTCAGAATCGGCATCTAGCTGCTGGGTTTAACCTGCTGGGCATTTCTCCTCCCTTCTCTTGGTTACAGCACCACCCTTTTCATTTAGGAAAGTCTCTCCCCTCTATTCCTCAAGTCTTGGAGGGTCTATTAATCAAGGCACCTCGTGCCATCAGCCAAGGGGTGGGGTGATGATTCAAGTTAGGCAAACCAGACTCTGCTGGGAACTTGAGTCTAGAGTAGAGTGACCTAAGGGTGCAACTAAGTCATTCAAAGGCTCCTTTGTCTAGAGCCCTGGAAGCTGCCCTATGTTACGTCCCTATCAAGTCACGGATTTTCAGCTCTCTCTTTAATTCTGTCAGCAGCCTAGGGGCCTTCCACAAAATTCTTTGCCCCCTTTTTTTTCCTTTAAATCAACCACTGCTGGTTTCTCTGATTTTCAATCAAAGAACACAAAAAACTGATACAAGTATAGTCTGAAACTGATAAGAGTATCTGGTACAAACTGATACCAGATAGTGGGCTACAGTCTACACAGAACTTTCGAGAAAGGAAGGGAACTGAGAACTGGTTACTGGCCCAAGTCATGGAAAATGGCAGGGAAACTCCTGTTCGTATTAGGGAATTGGAAACCAGCAGTCCATGGGACAAGGTGTCACCTGCAGTCAGGGCTTATGACTCATTATGCTCCTCTAGTAGGAATGGCCAGGTGAAAGTCACTGGACTATTAAAGAACAACAATGCTGCACATCTCGTTTGATGATTCACGGAGAAACCCCACCTCCCCAACTGAGGGGCCAAAGGGTCTCAGTCAATGGCATTAGGCTGTCACAAACCTAATCAAATGGTGACTCCTACTCAAACTTTCAGATGCGGGGCCTGACTGGAGCAAATTAATACCACCCTCAGCACCCAGAAGGCAGTTATGAAGCTGGTAAGTGTATTTCTCTGTTGGGATCAACTGAGGACATGAGAGAGCAGTTGCCTTTCACCTGCCTCAGGAATATCAACTCAGGACACAGCCCATTACACTGGTCGACCACATGGAAGGTATGAGGCTGACAGAACCTGGAGAGCAGGAAGACACAGGTGTCTTGCTTACATTTCAGATGGCAGGATATAAATCCCATGAACATACAGGGCCTGTACCTTTAGGAAGTTTCTTTTGATCTAATGTCTGTGCCAAGCCAGGACATGCCCTTTCAAATGAGGATAACACAAGAAACAGTGGATGCCTCCAGTATAGAAACCAAGGTAGCTGAATAAGCACAGAAAAAGAACTTGGGCTTTATAGTACACCTTTTTGTACCCCTTCAATTTGATACCACGTATACGTATTACTGAAAAATAGTAATACTGAACAAACGAAAAATAAAGTGAATGATAACTGCTATACCCTACAGCAGCTAAGAGGCAAAATGTTTGACTGATATCTCGGGGATTCTGAAGGCAACATATACTGCACAGGTTTTAGATCTTTTATCTGCATCTGACAAGCTGCCTCGCAATGAGAACATGTGCGTAGGGCCCAGAGCAAGAGCCGCTGCACAGCTGGCCCGTGCTGAAGCACTCTGCTTACTCAGTTCATCTGACCCGGCATACCCGATAGCGTCTACAGCATGTGCGGGTGATTTGGATTCTGGGAAGAGCCTATGGCAGGCCCGCCTGCAGACTGGGCCGATCTTCCAAGCCACAAAGCCGGGCGTGCCCAGCAACACTCTGTCATCATGTGCAAATTACGCCTGCTTGGTCAAACTACGTGAGTGAGGTTTCTGGACGCTATCTGTATATGCCTTGCTTCCTATGTCATGTAATTTTTTTTTTAATTCCCTTCTCTTTCATGTTTTCCTCTCCTACTACTGCACATAGGTAACATATTATTAGTAGATAAATTTTCTGAAGTCTATAATTCACAGAATAAAACAGAGATGGGAAGAGGAGCTAACATTATCCAGAACTCTGCACTTGAAGCTATCTATAGATGCATTAGCCAGGCAGTACTTTGGGTTAGTTCCCTTTCTTAAGGAAGAGAGAGCTAAGTTATGTTGTTGAAAGTATTTAAAAATTCTGTATGTGGAAAGCAGTAGGTTTGAATGTCCTGAGTAACTAACATGTCAAAGATAGGGGATATCAGTGGGTTTTGCCCACCTAGCACCCTTTTTCTGTTCTTTTAATCTATATGCACCCCAGTTTTGCTCTCAAAAACTGCTCTTCTTCCTTTCCATATAGTTTTAGTAAGACTATGGATCAAGGTGTGCCTCCTTAGAAATGGGAGAATTACACACTGACAGGTAAAATTAACAGCTAGGAAATATACTATTCAAATGAGGTTTATGCCCCTTTGTCTGACACCACTCATATACGCAGACATTCACCCAATGAGAGTAGCTTATGACATTCTTACTTAAACACAGGCTATGTGGTACAAGTGAAACTTTGTTTATGATGTTTCTTTTTTTGTACCTGTTTAATGAGCATTTTTAAATGTACAGAAAGTAGAGAAAACAGCTAAATGAACCCCTATGTATCCATCAACCAGTTCAAGTATTCAAATTTTCCATATTTAAAGCAAATTACAGACATCATATCACGTTACCCAAAATACTTTGATTTGTATCTCTTTTTATAGGATTTTTAAAAAAGAAACTTAACTACAATAGCTCTTTCACACCCAATAAAGCCACTATACCATCTAATAGCCCCTCTACATTCAAATTTCTCAAAAATTTCCCTTTACATTGGACTGTTTATATTTCGACCTAAATACGATCTACACATTCCATATGATCATACAGTAATCATATTTCTCCTTTAATTTGTAACAAAATAATGTAAAAGAGTCTCATTTTAATGTGTAACAATTACCCCCTTTTTAAAACCTTTTCATATCATTTCTACCCTGGAAAAAACAACACACTGACCTATATAATATCTCACACTTGTGCACTTGGCTGATTGCTTTCCTTTTGGTGTTAACATGTTTTGCTAATATCCTATATTGCTTACAAACTGATAGCCATATCTAGAGGTTACATTAGATTCAGGGTGAAGTCTTTTGCAAGAATCCTCCCTTTGTGGTGTTTTGTTCTTTGAGTCAAATCTGAAGGCACATAATGTTGGGTTGTCCCATGTAGCATAATATTGAAACTGGCCAGTGGTTTCAGGTATTGTCAACCTAAGCCAGCCATTATAAAGTTCACCATTAACCTTTTCCCTTATGGTTTGGGATCTATTGATGATAATTTTAGATCCATGAGGGGTTGAAAAATAGTGATATTCTAATTTTATCCTTTCTCCTACTTTTATGTTTCTTAATGTACAAAAAAGTTTTACATTTTTAGGTAGTCAGATTAATATCTTTTCCTTTAGAACTCCAATGTATGTCTCTCCAAACCTATGAAACTGTCCCGTGAAATTGTTCAGCACAGGACCTCTCCAGGTTCTAGGTCTCTCCCAGATCTCAAGAAATGGCAAATGTCCAGAGGCTGCTATAGAATGTCTGCTCGGTATTCTTCCCTTCACTCCAGGATCTTAATCCCTTGAGTCCTGAGTACCTTTGCAGTTCTCCAGTGTCTTCAAAAGATGTTTTACCTGGCTCTCCTAGCCACTCTGAAATAGCTGGATGTGAAAATCTACAATAAGTTCTATTGATTGACCAGGATAAGCAAACAAACATATGGTACCGGATATATACATATAATGTAAACATACTTAGTTAAAATTGCATTCAATATCAATTCTATTTCAGATAATGGAAACCAACCTTCCTGCTCCAAGTTATTCTATAAGGCTACGTGAAATATAAAAACATAATTCAAAATCATCAAAGAATCAAAAAGATAGTGTGGAATTATCAGAGAAAGATCTTGGTACATCTGGTTGCACAGGCGTAGAGGTAAGTTAAAAGGCAACGCAGCTCTTTTGATAGCCTTGTAGAGAGTAAAAGTAGGCCAAGCCTTCCAACGTGATGTAGAGAGTAAAAGTAGGCCAAGCCTTCCAACATGAGTTCTTGGTTAACTACCCTATCCTCAGGGCTGGGCCCATTACCGTGCATCCTGAGTATGGGGGACTCAGAAGTAAACTGGCCAACAAAGAAACTATAGCCTAAGCGTGAAACTGAAAATGAATTAAAGTGGTCCTAGGTGGCTAGTGCTGCCAGGTGCCTGGAAGATGCAAACAAAAATCCTCCCTGGAGGAAGATAACATCATCATAGGTTTCTAATTGTTTCTAAAAAGAATTTTTCAAGTACAATAAAAATTACATTAACTTACTATTAAAAGGCAGTAATAATTTCCAAGTTATAAGAGGAAAAATTAAAGAGAATCAAATACCCAGGAAGAAAAGAACACATGAACAAGAACCCCACAACAATGGACAAAATTTAAAAAGCCATACTCCAGATAGCTCAAAAACTAGACAAAATTTTACAGTAATTTAGAGGGTCCCCCATGAAGATAAAACACACCTTTCATTAAGAAACTGAAAACTATAAAAAATGACCCTGTGAAGAAGAATACAGTAGAAATTCTAGAACTGAGAAACAAAATAACTAAAATTAAGAATTCAAGGGCTGGCCGAGTGGCGCGTTGGTTAAGAGCTGGCTTGGGACGCCAGAGAGCCCCGGTTCGGATCCCACATATGAGGGCCAGTGACACTGCCCTCTACAGCTAAGATGCTGAACACAGCTGGACCTGGAGCTGGGCTGCCTTGAGTCACCGGCGGCGGCCTAGGCTGCAGCCCCTGCTGCACTGGGTTGCCATGGGCTACCGTGTGTTGTCAGCAGCCAGCGTGAGCGGCCAGCAGCCGCAGTGAGCAGCCGTCAAGAAGCCAGTGACTGATCTGCCTCACCTAGGAAGAGCGCAATGATGGTGCCAACTTGGGCCAGTGAAGCAACGTCTTCCACAACTAGACTGAAGAACAAAAGGACAGCAACTTGTCTGTTCCCCTTCCCCCAATTCCCCAGCGCTGTTCCCATCCCCGAATTCCCCAATAAAAATCTTTAAAAAAAAAAAAAGTAAGAATTCAACAGGTGGGTTTAGTAACTGATTAGACCCAGATGAAAAGAAAAATTAGTGAACTTGGAGGTTATCTAAAGGAATTATCCAAAATAAAACACAGAAACTAAAAACAATGGAAAAATATAGAATGAGTAAGATACACAGAAATACAGTGAGAAGGCCAGAAAACATATCTTCGATGCCATGAAAGGAAAAAAGTGCCAACCTAGAATACTATACCCAGCTAAAGTACTGACCAACAATAAAGGTGAAATAAAGCCTTTCTGACACACTAAAATTGAAAGAATTTGCCACCAGAAACCTGCTTTAAAGGATGCTCTTAGGTAGATGAAAAATGATCCCAGATGTAAGTCTGGAAATGTGAGAAGAAATGAAAAACAACAAAAATGGTAGCTACATAGGAAAATGTAAATTAACATTAATTATATAAAATAAGAATAGTATCATTGAGGTTTCAAAATACAGAAATTTCAATATATAAAAACTGTAGTATATAAGCCAAAAGAATGATAGAGTTAAGAGTTCTAAGGTCACTGCATTTTCTAGGAAAAGGAGGATAAAAGAGCGTTAGACTTTAATAATTCAAGAATGCATATTGGAACATCTATGGTATCCATTAATAGATTAAAAGCAGTATATAATTTCCAAGTTATCAGAGGAGAAAATTTTATAATAAAAAAACACTTAACCCCCAAAGAGCAAGAGTCAACAGAAAAAAAGAATATAGAATAGGCGAGATAAATAAAAAGCACAAAGTAAGATGTTAGATTTCAACTCAAAAATACCAGTAGATATACAATACGAAAACAGATTAAGTTCTCCAAGTTAAAACCAAAAGATTAATCAGTTTTGATTTTTTTTTAAATGCTCTTACAAAAGACAATCTAAAACATAAGGATACAGAAATTTAGAGAGGTTAATAGAAGAACAGTGGGGGAAAAACCACCATACAAACCTAACCAAAGGAATCAACTAAACAGTATCAATTCAAACACACATTAGGGCAAAAAGCATTACTTGAGATAAAGAGGGTGATTTCATAATGATAAAATGTTCAATTCATCAGGAAGATGTAACAATTCTAAATTTGTATGCACCTAATAGTATGAAAATGTAAAATAAAATATAAAGTTCAAAGTATAACAACGAACTTGACATAACTACAAAGAGAAATAACTCCAATCATAGTGGGAAATTTTAACACAGTAAATCATAGAGTCATACAAAAATCTACAAATTGCACAATTCCTCTCAAAGAAAACTGCAAGCTTACTGTTTATTTATACTAGCAGAATGTTCATAAGCATTATTCATAATAGACCCAAATTGAAAACAAACCACTTGCCAATCAAGACTAGAATGAATAAATAAAAGGTGATATATTCATACAAGGAAATACAATGCAGCAGTGAGAAACAACCATTACAGGCATAGAGAGGAACTGATAATCATAATGTTGAGAAGAAATCAACCCATAAGACATGATTTCTTTACATATAAAGTTCAGAAACAGGTAAAACTAAACTTCAATGATTACCCTAAAAAAAGTCAGGAAACCTGCTACCTTTATTTAGAGGAAGGGAAGAAGTACCATTAAAGGGTATGTGTGAATAGCTCTCAACATTCCATTTCTTGACCTTGATAGCAACAACATCTGTATTAACATTTCAATAATTTATTAAGGTATAAATCATCTTTGTGTGCTTTTCTATATGTTACTCTCCACAATTACAAAAAACA